CCGATCTGGGAGGGAGGAAGGAAGGAAGGAAGGAAGGAAGGAAGGAAGGCAGGCAGACAGGCAGGCAAGCAGGCTTATTTCACTTAACATAATGACCATGAATTCAACCCAAGTTGTTGCAAATGACAGAATCTCATTCTTTTTGATGGCTGAATAGTACTCCATTGTGTATATGTAAGCATTTTCCTTATCCATTCATCTGTTGATTAACACTTAGGTTGTTTCCAAATTTTGGCTATTGTGAAGAGTGCTGCAACAAATGTGGAAGTGCAGATATCCCTTTGATATGCATATTTCCTTTTGGGGTGGTATATGCTCAGCAGTAGAACTGCTGGATCATATGGTAGCTCTGTTTTTAGTTTTTTAAGGAACCTTGTGATTTGAGCTCCTTATATATTCTGGTTATTAATCCCTTGTCAGATGGATAGTTTGCAAATATTTTCTCTTATTCTGTGGGTTGTCTCTTCACTTTGTTAATTTTTTTCCTTTTTTAACTTAATATGATTTGACTTGTCCATTTTTGCTTTGGTCACTCAGGAAATCTTTTTCCATACCAATGTCAAGAGTTTTCCTAATGTTTTCTTGTAGTAGTTTCATAGTTTGAGGTCTTAGATTTAAAACTTTAATCCATTTTGATGTGATTTTTGTATATGGTGATAGATAGGGGTCTATTTTCATTCTTCTGCATATGAATATGCAGTTTTCCCAGCACCACTTATTGAAGAGATTTTTCTTTCCCTCATGTATGTTCTCCACACCTTTGTCAGAAATGAGTGCTCTGTAGGTGTATGGATTTGTTTCTGGGTTCCCTAATCTGTTCCATTAACTACACATACGTTTTTATGCCAGTAACATGCTGTTTGGGTTATGTAGCTCTGTAGTATAATTTGAAGTCAGGTAATGATTCCTCCAGTTTTGTGCTTTTTGCTCAGGACACCTTAGGCTATTCTGGGTCTTCAGTGGTTCCATATAAACTGTAGGATTTATATGGAACCTAAATAATTTTCTCTATTTCTGTGAAGAATGTCATTGATATTTTGATAGGGAATTCACTGAATCTGTAGATTTCTTTTGGTAGTATGGACATTTTTTAAATGTTCATTCTTCAAATTCATGCACATGGAATAACCTTTCCATTTTTGTATACTCTTCAATTTCTTTCCTCAGTGTTTTATAGCTTTCATTGTAGAGCATAACTAGTTGAAGACGGAGGAAGGAACACATTTAAAAATCTCTGGAAATTATTCTAAGGGTAAACATCAAACTATGAATACTGATTCACTGTGTTGGATATTTATTCACTGTTAGAATTAATAAGTAAATCAATATTGAATTCCTTACATGCAGCCAGGATGCAAAATACATCCTCTAAATCCTATTCCATCTTCCATTAATTGTCTAGTGAAAATATTTAATAAGAATCCAAAAAGAAAGTTTTCCACAATAAATTAAATGAAATATTTGGGTTGTGAGTGTAGTTGAGTGTTGACGAGGCAGGAAATTAAAGAAAAATACAATTAAAAAGAAAAAGAAATAAGTTTTCCTGTATTAGGTTGACTTGTCCCAGAGGCAGCAACAGGCACAGACCAGACCCAGGAAAAGTCTTCATAATGTTATCTAATGTGCTCTGGAGACTCTCCCAGCACTCCCTCAACATAGGGAGAAGAAAAACTGATTTTCCTTTGTTTAATGGAATAAGTTTTTAGATTCCTGTTCTCTGTAACTAGTGACTTCAAGTATTCTGTTTTATCTAAGAAGTAGAGTGAAGGTCATGAGAAGCCTGAGTAGGCCTGAACTACAGCTGCCTGGGCACCATAGTGAAGGTTATAAGATAAACCAGTATAAGGCTCTTTAGAGCAAAACCTAGATAACAGACATCTGGGTTGCTTGGCAAGGGTCATGTGCAATCCTGAGTTTGTCCTGCCTCTATATCCCTGCTTTCACACCACTGTAAGCTTGCTTCAAGCTAGCCCACCCACCTTTGTGAAGTGTCTATGAAAGTCAAGTGCTGTCTTTGCATGTGAGTCTGCTGGGGCCTGAGTGCACTCAATAAAAATTCTCGTTTTAACCCGAGGTCTCTCTCTCATCCTCCTGGATCCTGCAACATTGATAAGTCACTGTCAGGCTAACATTTTTCATAATGAGCTACTTTGACAATACTTCCATAACTTTCTCAAATGATACAGATTTTGCCTCCTCTCTCGCTGTCACACACAAAACTTTTGGCCATACTGGGGAATCTTATGATTCTCCCTTATAATTGCAAAACACTAGAAATTTTCGTTTATTTTGCCTCTTCTCTTGCAGACAAGGGAACACCGCAGACATGGCATCAGAGGTCCACATGACAGGCCCAATGTGCCTCATTGAGAACACTAATGGGCGACTGATGGCGAATCCAGAAGCTCTGAAGATCCTGTCTGCCATTACACAGCCTGTGGTGCCTGTGGTGGTGGTGGCGATTGTGGGCCTCTACCGCACAGGCAAATTGATGAACAAGCTGGCTGGGAAGAAAAAGGGTGAGTGGCATGAGCAAAGCTCTGCCAAGTCCCTTCTGTCCATCTACACAGTCAGCATCCATTACGAGGATGTGAGGAGAGAAAGTTAGAGATGAGGATGAATACTGAAAGCTAACTTTCCATTCACAGTTGGTCTCCTTATCTTCACGCTGTTCCAGGGGTAAGATTAAATTCATTAATTATTCCCACGATATGTTAGTTTCCCTTTCAAAAGCACAAATTATGCCTTTCCTAAAAGGAGTAAGACTGTAATAAAAATAATTAATGCACATAATAATAACTACAATAAACTATACAATGTTTATTACAATTTTTATGCCATAACAGCGAGTTTACAGTGATCTTTAAGATTGAAAAAATGTTTCAGTCTGTATTGGATATTCTTTTTTATTGTTGTAAAAAAAAACATAAAATTTAACCTCGTAACCATTTTTAAGTGTACAGCTCTGTGACATTAATTAAATTCACACTGTTATACAACTGCTACCTCCATCCATATCCAGAACTCTTTCATCTTGCCTAACAGAAACTCTGTACTAAATAAACAAAAGCTCCACATTAACCCATTGCCTGCCATCATTCTACATTCTATCTCTATGAATTTGACTACTACAGGAAACTCGTAAGTGGAATCATTCAATATTTGTCCTTTTATGACTGTCTTATTTCAATTCATATGTCTTCAAAGTTCATCAGTGTGTTAGCACATGTCAAAACTCTTCCTTTTTAAGGCTTACTAATTGTATGATAATTTGTTTATCTCTTCATCTGTCAATGGCCACTTGGATTGCTTCCACCTTTTGTCTATTATAAATAATGCTAATAGGAACATGAGTGTCTGAATATCTGTTCAAGTCCCTGCTTTCACTTCTTTTGGGAATATATCCAGAAGGGGAATTGTTGGCTTATGGAGTCATTCCATGTTAACTGTTTTTTTTAAAGAAATCACTGTACCATTTTCCACAGTGACTGTACCATTTTACATTCCCAACAGAAATGCACAAGGGCTCTAATTTCTCTACTTCCTCACCAACATTTTTTATTTTCAGGGTTTGTTTTGTTTTGTTTTGTTTTGTTTTTGATAGTGTCCATAGGAATGGATGTTAAGTAGTATCTCGTTGTGGTTTTGATTTTGATTTCCGTAATGACTAGTGATATTGAGCATCTTTTCATGTGCTTATTGGCCACTTGTATATCTTCTTTGGGAAAATGTCTATTCAAGTCCTCTGTTCATTTATTAATCTGGTTGTTTATTTGTGTTGCTTTGTAAATTTTTTTATATTTTCTAGATATCAATCCCTTATATACATGTTTAGCAAATCTTTTCTTACATTCTATGTGTTGCCTTTTTTAACTCTGTTGATAGAGTCTGTTAACACACAAAAGTTTCAAATTTTGATGAAATCCAACTAATCTATTTTTTCTTTTATTGACTATACTTTTGGTCTCTTATTCAAAAAAATCATTGCCAAATCCAATATTATAAAACTTTTGCCCTTTGTTTTCTTCTATAACTTTTATAGTTTTAACTCTAATGTTCAGCTCTTTGATTCATTTTGAGATCATATTTATAAGTTATAAGGTAACAGCCCAACTTCTTTAAGGAGATATCTCATTGCCTCAACATCATTTGTTAAAGAGACTCTCCTTTCTTCGTTAAATGATCTTGACATCCATACTGGAAATCATTTGACCATATATGTCAGAGTTTATTCATGGGCTGTTTTTCTATTCCATTGGTTTATATGTCAGTCTTTCTACCAGTACCATACATGGTTTTGTAATACGTCTCAGAACTCAGAAACTGTGAGATTCCAACTTTGCTCTTCCTTTTTAAGATTATTTTCATAATTAGGGGATTTCCAGAAATTTCATATGAAAGTTATGGTGGATTTTTCTATTTATACAAAGTAATTGGCATGTTGGTAGGTATTACATCAAACCTGTACATCATTTTGGGTAGTAGTGACATCTTAAGAATATTAAGTCTTCCAATCCATAAACGCAGGATGCCTTTCTAATAATTTATGTCATCTATAATTTCTTTAAAGGGTTTTTTTTTTATTATTATACTTTAAGTTCTAGGGTACATGTGCATAATGTGCAGGTTTGTTACGTATGTATACTTGTGCCATGTTGGTGTGCTGCACCCATCAACTCGTCAGCACCCGTCAACTCGTCATTTACATCAGGTATAACTCCCAATGCAATCCCTCCCCCCTCTCCCCTCCCCATGATAGGTCCCGGTGTGTGATGTTCCCCTTCCCGAGTCCAAGTGATCTCATTGTTCAGTTCCCACCTATGAGTGAGAACATGCGGTGTTTGGTTTTCTGTTCTTGTGATAGTTTGCTAAGAATGATGGTTTCCAGCTGCATCCATGTCCCTACAAAGGACACAAACTCATCCTTTTTTATGGCTGCATAGTATTCCATGGTGTATATGTGCCACATTTTCTTAATCCAGTCTGTCACTGATGGACATTTCGGTTGATTCTAAGTCTTTGCTATTGTGAATAGTGCCGCAATAAACATAGGTGTGCATGTGTCTTTATAGCAGCATGATTTATAATCCTTTGGGTATATACCCAGAAATGGGATGGCTGGGTCATATGGTACATCTAGTTCTAGATCCTTGAGGAATCGCCATACTGTTTTCCATAATGGTTGAACTAGTTTACAATCCCACCAACAGTGTAAAAGTGTTCCTATTTCTCCACATCCTCTCCAGCACCTGTTGTTTCCTGACTTTTTAATGATTGCCATTCTAACTGGTGTGAGACGGTATCTCATTGTGGTTTTGATTTGCATTTCTCTGATGGCCAGTGATGATGAGCATTTTTTCATGTGTCTGTTGGCTGTATGAATGTCTTCTTTTGAGAAATGTCTGTTCATATCCTTTGCCCACTTTTTGATGGGGTTGTTTGTTTTTTTCTTGTAAATTTGTTTGAGTTCTTTGTAGGTTCTGGGTATTAGCCCTTTTAAAGGGTGTTTGAAGTTTTCACTCTACAACTCTTTCGCCTGCTTGGTTAAGCTTATTCCTAGGTAGTTTATTCTTTTGATGCTGTTAAGTGGGATTGTTTTCAAAATTTCCTTTTCTTTTTGTTTAGGAAGGAAATTAGAATTCCTGTTCTAATTCTATTTTTATACACTTGTAACTGATTTCTCCATATTGACTTTGCATGCTGCAAATTTGATGAATTCTTTTAAAAGTTCTAATAGGTTTTTGTGGAATATTTAATGTTTTCTACAAATTAGATACTACTCTCAGTAGACAGATAATTTTACTTTTTCATTACCAATTAGGATGCCTCCTTTATGCTTTTCTTGTCTAATTACTCTGGACAGAACTTGCAGTGTTCTATGGAACACAATTGGCAAAAGTAGGCATCCTTCTCTTGTTCCTGATGTTATAGGAAAAGCTATGAAACTTCATCATTAAATGTGAAGTGAGCTGTGGGTTTTTAATATATGGCCTTTATTATGTTGAGGTACTGTTTTTCTATTTCTACTTTGTTGATTGTTTTTATCATGAAAGCCTCCTGAATTTTTCCATGCATTGGATATTCAAATTTCCTATTTCTTTGATTGTAACTAAGTAAAATGAATAGTGATTGTTGTTTCGGTTCTCTCCTAACCTTAAATATGCTACCTTTTCCTTTAACTACTCGAATTGCCTGTTACTAGATCTCCATCTCTGGTCTCCTCTCTCCCTTGCAGGCTTCTCTCTGGGCTCCACAGTGCAGTTTCACACTAAAGGAATCTGGACGTGGTGTGTGCCCCATCCCAAGAAGCCAGGCCACATCCTAGTTCTGCTGGACACTGAGGGTCTGGGAGATGTAGAGAAGGTGAGACTCAAGGATCCAATTGTGGAGTGAGTCCCTCTTCTCTGAATATTTTATGCACCATTTAATTGTTTATTAACTATTAACTACAGGCCATAATATGTGGGGTTTAACACAGATGCATAAAGGGAGCACAAATAATCCCAGTGTCATGAGTCTTATCCTGCAGAGAACTTTAGTTAAGAATTTGGGTGCTAAAGCCCCATGACTTTCTGTTTAAATTTAAATTCTGTCACCAATTCAGTACCCTGAGAAAATTGACTTATTTTATACTCAGCATTCTAATCTTTACAATGTATGGAAAAGACCTATGTTGGCCACATAGAATTATTTTGAATATTTAATGAGATAAACAGTACATTTCAGGTGTAGATTAATTATTTGATAAAATAGCAACTAATAGTATCAATCTTATATGTGAATTTTGTTATTGAAAAAAGATGAGAAAATTTTAAATTTACATTGTACTCATGCCTTAAAATGCCCACCAACCTTGAATTTTAATTTTACAATTATTTGTTGATGGTCATTAGAAAACTTAATAAGGATCATTGTAACCCAGAAACACTCGTCGAAAAACTACCCAAAAGCGACATCCTACTGAGAATACTTTTTGTATTTGGCTTCCTTTGATATGTCATTAGTGCTAAAGAACAAACAAACAAAAAAGAACAAAAACCCTCTAACATATGAACATAGTTTTACTACTGTTACTCTAGAAAGTGCTGTGATGATGAAACTTGCTCCTGACTCCAGTATATCTTGACTTCCAGGGTAACAACCAGAATGACTCCTGGATCTTCGCCCTGGCCGTCCTCCTGAGCAGCACCTTCGTGTACAACAGCATGGGAATCATCAACCAGCAGGCCATGGACCAACTGCAGTATCCTTTGTGACCCAGAACAGCACCGAAGTCAGAGGCGACACCTGTATTCATAAACTAGCTGCCTGACTGTGAATCCTGATGAATCAAGCTCAAGAGGAGAAAACAAAAAATAATGCAAGTACAGAGGAGAGATCCCATGTATCCACTTTAGAAATGACACTTAGGTTAGGAGCAAAGGAAAATGGAAAGTTTGGGAATGTGTTGAATATGGGATGAGGTCCCTGTTCATTTTGTCACATTTCCTTAGTTAGCTACTCAGCTATGTGACAGAGCTGACACATCGAATCCGATCAAAATCCTCACCTAATGAGAATGAGAATAAGGATTCAGCTGACTTTGTGAGCTTCTTCCCAGACTTCGTGTGGACACTGAGAGATTTCTCCCTGGACTTATTAGCAGAAGGACAACCCATCACAGGAGATAAGTACCTGACATACTCCCTGAGGCTGAAGCAAGGTAACAGAGAGCTTCAACTGATATATGAGGATGAGAAAACAAAATAAATTATCAGTTTTCAGTTTACTATTGCTAGTTTTCCCAAATTTGCAGTTTTCTATGTCTTCAACTGGCTATTCCTATAAATTAATGCTTGTTGAATATCTGAATTAATAGATTTTATTTTAAATTACGTTTGTCCTTGTTCTAAAACAAGTTTCATGTTCTTTCACCCATGTGTATGCTATGATTAAGTTAATTTTATCTCCCTGCCAAGGGTTTGTGATCTTCTATTTAGCCATAGAATGTGGAGTAAAATGGATATTTATTTAAAGAACATAGACTAAAACACGAACGTGTGCTAGTCCAAGCACTGGCAAACTACAGCCCAAGGCAAATCATGGCCAATCCTGCCTGCCAGCTGTCTTTGTAAATAAGATTTTCTTGGAATAATGCTATGCCCATTCATTTACAGATTTTCAAAAACTGTTGTCATACTCCAATAACAGAGTTGAGTATTTGGAAAAGAGACCACCCAGCCTGAAGAGCCTAAAATATTTACTATTTGGCCCTTTACAGAAACACTTATATTAGGCAATTTTATGATTTTTTTATGTTTTTCTAGGCACCAGTTAAACAGATAAAACTTTTCTTTTTTTTTTTTTTTTTACCAAGCTCAAGTCCAACCTTCTCTGCCTACATCAATATTTACATATGAATAAAATGCTTTCTCAAATAGAGAACAATAGCTTCCACCTTTTAGGCTGTATTTTGTTTGTTTGTTTTTGTTTTTGTTTTTTTTTTATACTTTACGTTCTAGGGTACATGTGCATGACGTGAAGGTTTGTTACATATGTATACATGTGCCATGTTGGTGTGCTGCACCCATTAACTCGTCATTTACATTAGGTATATCTCCTAATGCTATC